GAGAAGCTGTATATCCTGTCAGTTGTTAGACACTGTATATCCTGTCAGCTGTGAGAAGCTGTATACCCTGTCAGCTGTGAGATGCTGTATATCCTGTCAGCTGTGAGAAGCTGTATATCCTGTTAGTTGTTAGACCCTGTATATCCTGTCAGCTGTGAGAAGCTGTATACCCTGTCAGCTGTGAGAAGCTGTATATCCTGTCAGTTGTTAGACACTGTATATCCTGTCAGCTGTGAGAAGCTGTATACCCTGTCAGCTGTGAGAAGCTGTATATCCTGTCAGCTGAGAGAAGCTGTGTATCCTGTCAGCTGTGTATATCCAGCTAACTTAGTTCCAGCAAGATGTAGCTTGATGTGTCAGTGTTGCCATAGCTCAACAAAAAGGCGTGTCATCTTACCAACTGTAAACACAAACTGTAAACTGCTTCAAAGGAGGAACCATCTTTCTAATTATGAGCGATCCCACATCCCCCAATTCCCACAAATACAATTGTTCATTTTGTTGACACTATTTTTGATTTGCCAATTGCAGAAATTTGATCGTGACGACAGTGTCATTAGCCTGGGCAAAGTAATTACTTAAGCTGCGTGTCTCCGCGTTTCGGGGTTCGCAAACCCCGCTAATCCCTCTCCAACTCCCCACAACAGATAGTAACCAAGATTTCAGATACACACCAACATTCAAATGAATTGTTCGTATTCACACAGGGCGAAAATGATCAATTTTGTGGCTTCCCTAACACCCAGATTGTTGGTAGACATTGATTATATCGACTGCTTCAACCCGCAACAATCGGCACTAGCCAACATATGCATAACGTATTGTGGAGAAAACAGGGCTATAATGCCCACCCAAACTGGGCCTAGATTGGGTCAGGTCCACACACTGCCTTTTCCCACACCTCACCAACGTCATTGTTTGACAATTATTTTTTCTTTTCACTCTCACTATCTGTGCAACCTCAAGATAATTAAAAACCGCAGATTCATTTCAGGGCTAAAAGTGAGCAATGTTTTTGTCTTGTCACCTCACCATGTGCTGTGGGGATCGTTACTTTCAGTGTCTGTGTTTCTTCATTATGGCCCCCCCAGTTGGGCTGTTTTCACAATATTGCCAGCATTGTTCAGCAAATGCGGAACTTTGTGAGGAGGATAGATAAGCCTCTGTTAGGGACTTATGCTGTATATCATATGTTCGTATGTCATGGGCAGATATTGACTTCTTATGATAACAAATATGACTTAACAAAGGCCCATATTCCCTATTGACTGGCATATGGAAATATAGTTAGGATCCTATCTTCAAGAAACATTTTGCAGTCTATATTATCAATATGTCAAGAGGATTTGTTTTCTTAAAAACTGTGTTGATTCGTGATAAAATTCCTATAAATAACTCTTGAAATAGAAACAACAGAATGAAATAGAAACAGCATTTTTTTGGAAAAGCATACATTCAAATAAACTAATAAAAAGATTAACACTATTCCTTTTAGCTGTTTAAAAATTTAGGGTTGCTTGTATGGAAAAAAGAATGAGAATTTGCTGGGCTTATTGTATAAAAAATATATATGAAATAAACAAAATCATTTCTCAATTTTAGCATTTTTTTCTGACAGGACAAAATAGTTTTAAATATTATTGAATTCCTATTCTGTCCAGTACAGCCAATAGCTTAAGCGTTTGTTACTGATTTGACCTTCCCTGAGCACAGATGTCCAAATGACATGGTTGAAATGCTGACCTTTCTAATTGGGTTCTTGTACGTGTATGACCAAATAAATCCCTCAGACTTACATAAGTCCCTTGTATGCCTTGGGGCTGGACTTATAAACAACAATAAAAACACGTGGCGTAAAGGTGTAATCTGCAATGTGCAGATCGGTGGACGGTGGAACTCCGTGCACAGAGAGGTAAGCAGTGAATACTGACGCTTACGAAGGGATTTGGTAGTTAGCAACCGCTCGTCCCTAACAAACCACACTTACACTCACTCCCCTAATCTATACATGCGTTAAGGAAATTTGACAAAGAAAATATTAATACTCTTAAGAGCTTGTTTATGGTGAATTCATTGAGTAATTTGCTGGAAGGTTTTTGGCGTCAAGGGCTGGGGCATGCAGGACCGAGAGAGCGGCGAGCGCCCCGCTGCCTGCTGGAAGCATTGCTAAATCCCTCACTCCTGGCACTCCTGCTAAGCTCCGATTTTCTCTGATGTATTGCGTTTTGTCTTCGACACATCTGACATGAAACAGTCTTTGAAATTTTCCTAACTCGCATGCCAAGCGGAAAACTGGATCTGGCATAAGAACATAAGCCCTATCAATTTTTTGGCACTTTGTACTGACATGTTCTTACAAATTAATTTTCACTTTGTAAGGCTCAATGCTTTAAGACAAAGACAGCGTACATACGTTTTAGATTATTTCTCTCCCATACTGCAGATTAAATATTACACCTTTTCAGAATCAATAATTATTTTGGTAACCTGTCAGGAAGAGGTATTTTACTGCAAAATGAAGACATGATAATTAATTTGAATTATGAAAATAGTATTTCTATGTCACGTCTCAATGTGAATTTCGAGTTAAGCTGAACATTTATGATAGGTTTTATCTGTAATATGGAAATTGATATTTACATAAATTCAAATTGATACCAAGTATTGAACTGAAATTTGAATTGACTGCACTTGTTACTTTGGTCTGCATTTGTTTTGAACATTTTTTGTGTGCTTTTGGGTTGGAATTCACAAAAAATCTTGATTATTAAAAAATATTAGGCAAGACTATAGATAATAATCAGAGAACAAGTTGAGTTAATAAAAGCTGCAGCTTCAATTTGTCAAAATATTCATGTTGAGTTACATGTCTGTTACACTGCCAATTACCTTTCTTAAATAGGTTCCAGATTAATGTTCTGTAAGTGGTTTGTTATACCAAATAAAAAAGAATTAAGGTGGGTTACTTTGTATTTATGCCATATGTTTTGTCAGTGATTTGCTGTGTGTGAGTTCTTAGGCACTGGGTCTGTTCTGAGTTCGTGTTTCCATGGACATGTTTTAGTGTGAACATCTTAGAATAAAAATAAAATTTAGCTGTATTATTTCTGTGAGAAACATCTGGTGACAAAAATGAATGCAGGAAGACTGTATTTAGGATTTGAAAGACAGTTTGTTTTCTATGTGTTGTACAGGGAAGTAACACAGGATGCATGTACTACCGCTGAGTCTTTCCACTCTTTATGTTACCACTTTTCTCCTGAATTTCTAAGTTATCCTATCTATACTCCCTTTATTTTGACAAGAAATATTTTACCTCTCGTCTCTGCATGAGTGTGCCCCTATTATTAGTACACTTGCAGAGCGAACCATATAACACTGTTTTCCCTTCTTTCATCTAGCCAGAGCTTCCATATTGGATAATGAAAATATTAACTTATGCTCACTCACTCACTCCCCTTCTGACCTGCATTGCGAATGATACTACTGTCTGACCTAGTTCACATCAATAATTATTAATTATAAAGTTCCTGTGTTATTTATTTTTTAAATATTTGTTAATGTTCTTTCCCCCATGCCAGCCATATCGCTGTACTGACACAATTGTTTCTTCTCTGCAATAGACTTGAAATGAGTATTGTATTGTTTGGACATATGTTTATTTTATTTAGGAGAAACCAAATTGATTTCTTAATAGTTCATAGACCGTTAGCTCTGAGAGTGCATGTAATTGAGATATGTTTGGTTGGTTGATGGTTGTGGGTTGTGAGGATTTGGTTGTGTTAATTCCCTTATTGTGGACATGGTGTGCAAGTCATTGTCAACTTGTGTACAAAACTAAGAAACAAGATGTGAAATAAGCTGAAGCAAAAATATCCACTGTCTTTTTATTGTAATAATTGTACTCTGATTAATAATCATTATCTTGTTATATAATTATTGAGAAATTAAGGAGTTGACCAGAAATCAATTGTTTATTGTATATGAACACATGAACTACATCAGAGAAACAAACATCTTCATCCTCATGATATCTTTTCCTATTTTATTATTAGCTTTTGAATTATGAAAATGGATCACAGAAAATAGTTTTAGTAGTATTTTGATTAAAATCATTTTTCACAAAATTCATTTAAAATCTAATATTTAAAAATTGAAGCCTGTAATTGAAATAAAATATGTTTTATTAATAGAGAAAAATCGAAGACAGAATGAAATACCATATCTGTTTGAGAAAACACGAGTCTCCAGTACTATACCTGCAGGTGGAAACTCAAACGTCACAGACATTCCACACACTGTATAATCCTGTCCTTGAATGAAACACACTATAACATACACCAACACATTAAACTGGCCGCCACACATGTAAGACTCTCTCATGTAACACACAAACTCCATAATCCAAGCCAGAAAACACATCCCCCATCATGGAGTACGATATTCCAAACGTTTGAAAATGATGCGTCTCACATGCAGGTTCTTCGTTGAAACATATTTTTTTTCTGAAATTGCCAAAACAATGTATTGTTAAGTTGGGTGACTCCTGTATGTGAGTAGTGACAGAGCTAGAATGGCAGTTTCCACATGAGGCATGTTTTATAGCCTACTGCCATGTTATCCTCTTTACACGGCTTTGGGGAGTTGGCAATGAAACTGTGGAATGATCTGTGCTCTAGCTTGAGATAAAGACATATTTAGGCATTTTGTTGACTTTTCCAGCAAAGCAAGCATAAGTAGACCATGTCAACCTAACATTGGGCTTTGTAGGCAATGGGCTTTTCTTTTATACTGGATGTGGGGCTCGCCGGCAGTTTTAGAATTAATTCTGCATTAATTTGAAAGTATCTTACTTTGATAGGTGTAAGACCATTATAGTAATGCCATAAAATCAGATTTGTTGAGTTTTAGCCTAGCCTTAGTGCAGCTGTGAGAACCAGTCAGGCCGTAGGATTTGTTCCACACTCGATAAAGTGGCTTTTCTTAAATCTTCTTTGCAGAGAAAAGGAAGAAGATTTGGAACAGCGCTATGAGCTGCTGAATCGAGAGCTGCGGGCGATGATGGTCATTGAAGGTAGGCCAATTCTGCAGCAATTAATATTTAGGCAGAATCAAAACTGTGTTAGCTATTTTATGGGAATGAAAAATGTTCAGCTAAATACTTATGTAAACATTAGTACAAGGAATTACTGGGACTTAGTGTGGCTTTCTTGGGCGACAGGATTGCCAACTTACTGAAAGACACTGTCCTAATTCTTGAACGTTTGATAACAGTCCAGTTGTTTAAATGACAATTTAATCATCTCGGTGAGAGATAAGATCAGACACTAATGATGGGTTTTTAATTAAAACCGAAAAAGGGAACAAATGGGCATAAAAGATATTTATTAAAAATAATTATATTTCTTTTTTTGTCTCTCTTAACTTTTTTGTGTACCATTTTTTTTTCAGTTTTAAAACAAACAAAAAAATGTTTAAGACAAAAAAATGGTCTTTGTATGTTATATGCTGCCTGTGTCAGATTATTTCTGACACCAAGTTAAAATGCCTGACGTTAACTTTTTTGACAACAATTCTTTATCTGAGAACCAGTTATACATTTTAAGCCATATTCATTTCAAATACATGTACTAACAAAACTGAAAGACTGAAATTTTTTATTACAATTTCCTGTATGTGCTTTCAATGAATATTTTTGTACGTTTTAGAAATCATTTTTAATAAATTCTCATGTAGTTGTCAGTGTGACTATATCATATTAATGTCCCGAAAAACATTTTGTCAAGAGGTTTAAAGCAATTATTTTGACTTGATTGTGTCTTGAAAGGGAGCCGCTCTTGTTGATTATGCCATGAAATACCTGACTTTGTTTGTCAGCAGGTTTTTACCTAGACTTACGAAAGCGGGGGGCCAGGGGACTCCCAATAATAATTTAAATTTTAAGGGTCCTAGCAGGCAACATGAGGGTCCTGTAATGTAAGGAAATGGTGCAGTTTACTGTATGTTTTGATAATTACTTTAGAGCCTGGAATGAATTAATGATCATGTGGACAGTAGTCATGGTTGATGGATGAAATGAGTCCCAAAACTGCTCTTGATGCGCTGTAGGTAATCTGTTGTACAGACCCTGCAACAAATATATTCAATCTAGCCCATGCGAGTCTATAATAGTGGGCAAGTCTAGATTACGAGAATTTAAGAATGAATATTGTCTCTGGGCTTCTTTTTGTTATAAGGTATACCTTATTAAGATGATTTAAAGACTGTTTTTTGTGTAAAATATGTTCATTTTAGACACAAGATGTTAGTCTACTCTGTACGTAGAATGAATATATTAGTATTTGCTTTTTTTGCATCAATTCTCAACATTAGTGCATACTGGAATCATATTTGTGTGTGTCACGTCAGGGTTCAAGGTCAGGCTGGAAATGGAGCTTTGTTACAAAAAGTGTCCACATATGACACAAGACTAAATATGTTACTTCAGGCTGTTTTCTTGTGTGTGTTTCTCCCTCATCACAGAACCCACTCCTACAACTACAAACGCTATGATTAAGAAATAACACTTGTAATTCCGATGGGAAGCAATTAGAGATTGGGTTTGTCGGTCAGCAAATTAATTTGTTTACATGTGTTTTCTTAAAAGAAAATCCTTTGATCATATGTGCTTGTTTTGGATTATTATGTCAATAAAAGAATTAGGTCAGCCCAGAATTAGGATCAATGAGGTGAGTGAGGTTATCAACAGAGGCACTGCTCACATAGCATCAGTCTGTGCCAAAAACTTTGGTGTCTACAAACCAGAACCATTGCCACCAATTTCAGTATATTTTAGTGCTAAAATATTGATTACCGGTATAGTTTGCTGAGCTTACATGATTGAACTCGATTCAGGCTTAAGACTATTGACTAATGTTACACAGTACCATCTCGGTCAAAGAATGCAGCATGGTTTTACTTTGACTTACAAAACTGAGGTCCTGTGATCCCTGATAATAAATTCAAGGGTCCTGTAAAGTAATGAAATGGTGTAGTATACTGAACTATAAAACTTTATAATTATTTTAATTGCAGGACCTTTTTATTTCCATTTTTGGTCCAGAATTTGTTATAATGAATATCATTGTGCGTATTGGGATGCAATATTGTTTTTGTCTGCCCATTGTATGCAATTGTGAGTACTGGACGCACATTTCTGCACCAGGTAAAACCCTGATTCAGTATTTATTAATTTATATCTGTGGAATATCCTCATCTCTCTGGGTATGTGTACCTGTATATTGTGAAATGGAAGGGTAAGGTTACAGCCAAGAGAGCCGTAGGTGGAGGTAACCATTAGTGACAGGAGGAATGTCTATGAGTGAGGAGCCAAGTATGCTGGCAACATTTAATGAAGTCCCTCACAATTAATGTAACTCCCTAGACTGTTTACACATGCCATACTGCGTGACATTTGTTTGCTTTGATATGAAAATACTGTTTGGTTCATTCCAGTCTGGTGATCTGCCCTGGGGGAATTGGGAGCTGTCCCCCACCCCTTGACGACTGTTTACTCCCCACCCCCTGGGAGACTAGGAGCTATTTGTGTGAGGAGCGCTGACCGAGCACCCACACAATGATCGAGTTTTAATCCTTCTATTGATAACTAATTGTTCACCTTCTCCCCGCCTTTCTTCCGGCCTGTGTTTTCCGTGTTTCTCAACTGAAACAACAACATGTGGAGTGCTTGTGTTGGCTAGAGGCAGTAGAAGGCATGGTCAGATCACTGGAGTGGGCAGTCAGTGTCCGGGGCCACTTCTTCAGTTGGACTCTCATGCTAATCTTATCAGATAGGCGCTGTGCATATCAGTGTTTCTTGATAAGACAAACCTTCCCTGAGGTTTGTTGTCTTTTGGGGGACAATTACTTGAGATGGATTAAAAATGTTTCTTTATTAGTATTTTTGTAAAACATAATTTGTGTTGGGGTTTGTAAATGTCAGCATGTCTATTACCATACTTGGATGTACAGTGATTTTGGAAATTGAACGTCAGTATGCCTTGAGAGGAACACTCTACCTTAGTCAAATACCTTTCAGCATGGTTATTGTCTGCAAGGTTTGAAGAGCATGCCAGATTACACATTTTTTTCATATCACTGCATCCGGGCAAATGACATGGTGGTTAATAGAAAGTCTTTGGCAATAGAGATGCTAGTTTCTGGAGAGTCTTGGGCTATGGGGATGCTAGTTTACAAAGGGTCTTGGGAAATAGAGATGCTGGTTTATGAGGGGTCTTCAGCTGTAGAGATGCTAGTTTATTGAGGGTCTTCAGCTGTAGAGATGCTGGTTTATTGAGGGTCTTCAGCTGTAGAGATGCTGGTTTATTGAGGGTCTTCAGCTGCAGAGATGCTGGTTTGTGGAGGGTTTTCAGCTGTAGAGATGCTTGTTTGTGGAGAGTCTTCAGCTGTAGAGATGCTAGTTTATTGAGGATCTTCAGCTGTAGAGATGCTAGTTTATTGAGGGTCTTCAGCTGTAGAGATGCTGGTTTATTGAGGGTCTTCAGCTGTAGAGATGCTAGTTTCTGGAGAGTCTTGGGCTATAGAGATGCTGGTTTATGAGGGGTCTTCAGCTGTAGAGATGCTAGTTTATTGAGGGTCTTCAGCTGTAGAGATGCTGGTTTATTGAGGGTCTTCAGCTGTAGAGATGCTGGTTTATTGAGGGTCTTCAGCTGCAGAGATGCTGGTTTGTGGAGGGTTTTCAGCTGTAGAGATGCTGGTTTGTGGAGGGTCTTCAGCTGTAGAGATGCTGGTTTTTGGAGGGTCTTCAGCTGTAGAGATGCTAGTTTATTGAGGATCTTCAGCTGTAGAGATGCTAGTTTATTGAGGGTCTTCAGCTGTAGAGATGCTGGTTTATTGAGGGTCTTCAGCTGTAGAGATGCTAGTTTCTGGAGAGTCTTGGGCTATAGAGATGCTGGTTTATGAGGGGTCTTCAGCTGTAGAGATGCTAGTTTATTGAGGGTCTTCAGCTGTAGAGATGCTGGTTTATTGAGGGTCTTCAGCTGTAGAGATGCTGGTTTATTGAGGGTCTTCAGCTGCAGAGATGCTGGTTTGTGGAGGGTTTTCAGCTGTAGAGATGCTGGTTTGTGGAGGGTCTTCAGCTGTAGAGATGCTGGTTTTTGGAGGGTCTTCAGCTGTAGAGATGCTAGTTTATTGAGGGTCTTCAGCTGTAGAGATGCTGGTTTATTGAGGGTCTTCAGCTGTAGAGATGCTAGTTTCTGGAGAGTCTTGGGCTATAGAGATGCTAGCTTACAATGGGTCTTGGGATATAGAGATGCTGGTTTGTGGAGGGTCTTCAGCTTTAGAGATGCTGGTTTATGAGTTAATTCTGAGTCATGGTGTATAGACATAATGCTAAAGTATGAAACACAACTAAGTTACCATATTCCCAAAAGTTTCACAACTTGCAATACGATTGCTTGTAACTGATCTTCAGATTCTAATGCCTTTGTGGAAATGTGAACTCCCACTGGACAATAAAGAGCCCTAATGAAAATGTTTACATAACCAAGGTAAAAATTTCAGACAGGCGTGGTATGTACCACAACATTTCTTTGCACCTTGTGTAGATGCCTTCATCACTGCTCCTTAAGTCTGTTGTTGGTGTGTTTGTGATGAGAACACCCTCAACCTGTCTGTAGCAGGTGGCCGTTCTGTACAGTATGGCTCTGAATATGCAACACTGACCTATTGACATCCTTACAAGGACCAGACCAGGCGGTTCAGGTTACTGTCATGGCACGGGGATGCTGTAACACTCAACACAGACTTGCCTCATATCGTTGTACACCTCAATTGACAGCCTCCTCCTGAAGTGGATGACCAACACAGAGCAGGGGATCTTTCATCTATGAACCTGCTCATTAGCGAGGACCAGGTGGCTAACTCTTGCCTTCTGCCTTTATTCGGGGGACATATTATCTGGACTTTGTTAAGTGGGGGAGTTCCCGGCTGCACCCTCTCCCTACAGGTGCCTCACCAGGATGTGCTATCTTTGTCCCATGTCACAGACCAGTCACTCCTCTCACACGCAGGTGT